CAGTGATCTTCCAAACGTATCCCAACACCTGAAACCCATTCTCTTTGCTGACGACACGACTTATGTCATCTCCCACCCTAATCTTGCCACCCTCAACACCATTGTTAACGAGGAGCTGATCAAAATATCGACTTGGATGACAGCCAATAAACTTACACTTAACACTGACAAAACCTACTATATTATGTTTGGTAGCAGAGCAGGTGTTGGGCAACTTAACATTAAAATCGACAACACTCTAATTGCCAGACATAATGAGGGCAAATTCCTTGGCCTATACCTCGACAACAACCTAAATTTCAGCACCCATATCCAACACATAACAAAAAAAGTATCCAAAACGGTGGGGATCCTCTCCAAGATACGATACTACGTACCTCAAACTGCCCTTCTCACACTATACCACTCACTTATATATCCATACCTCACCTATGCTATCTGTGCTTGGGGTTCAACTGCAGCAACACTCCTAAAGCCAATAATAACCCAACAAAAAGGCGCAGTAAGAATAATCACTAAATCCCATCCCTGGCAACACCCCCCCCCCCACTCAGAACATCCACACTTACTACTGTGCAATCTATATCTACAGGACCTTAAATTCCAATATTAACCTTGACCTAAAACGCTTTCTTGATAGTTGTGACAGGATCCACAGGCATAACACCAGACACAAACATCTCTATGACATTCCCCGTGTTCGACTAAACCTTTACAAAAATTCAATGTATTTCAAAGGACCTAAAATCTGGAACACCCTACCTGAAAACTCTAGAACTGCAGACACATTCATCCCCTTTCAAAAATACAATTAGAAAACATCTTATCTCCCTGATCCACCCCAACAACTAACTATATGATAACCACCTGGTGGTTCAAAATTACACTCACTCACCCACTGACTATAAACACAGAAATACTAATCTTAATCTTAAAATAATAAATCCTAACTAGTCATAAGTTTGCCTATGATACTCAATATAGACACCTTGTTTTTGTGCCAAAACAAAAGCATTCACATTGCTAAACTCACAAATTATGATGTAGTCACTTAGCCTTAACACCATAATCTGTAAGGATTTAATGTTAAGAATTAATCTAAGTCTGCTGGAAATGCCTAGCCATGCTAGGTGTCCTAGTGGCCCCCTCTGTAATTAGTATTTTATAACATGTAAACCACAAAATACCCAAAACCTGTAAACCCCACATTGTAACCATTATAGAGAATAAACTTGAATTGAATTGAATTGAATTGCTGCCTCCCTGTCAGGTATTCTCTGATCCATTGCAGTGCCCTTCCTGTTATATGCGCCTGATCCTCTAGCTTCTGCACTAATCTCTTGTGAGGAACTGTGTCAAAGGCCTTCTTGCAGTCCAAGAAGATGCAATCAACCCACCCCTCTCTCTCGTGTCTTACTTCTGTTACTTTATCATAAAACTCCAGAAAGTTTGTGACACAGGATTTTCCTTCCATAAATCCATGCTGGTTGGCGTTTATACACTTGTTCCATTCCAGGTGTTCCACCACTCTCCTCCTGGTAATCTTCCCCATAACTTTGCATACTATACACATCAGTGACACAGATCTATAGTTTAGTGCCTCTTTTCTGTCTCCTTTTTTAAAAATGGGAACTACATTTGCCGTCTTCCATACCTCAGGTAGTTGCCCAGTTTCCAGGGACATGTTGAAGATTGTGGTAAGTGGCACACACAACATATCTGCTCCCTCTCTAAGGACCCATGGGGAGATGTTGTCCGGTCCCATTGCCTTTGAGGTATCGATGTCCCTTAGCAGTTTCTTCACCTCCTCCTCATCTGTATGTATGTCGTCCAACACTTGTTGGTATATTCCTTGTTAGTGTCCCCATCTGGTCTGTCCCCCCAGAGTCCTTCCTGTCTCCACTGTAAATACTTCCTTAAATCTTATGTTGAGCTCCTCACATACCTCTTGATCGTTTCTTATGAGTTCTCCACCTTCTTTCCTCAGCCTTATCACCTGATCTTTGACTGTTGTCTTCCTCCTAATGTGGCTATACAGCAGTTTCGGGTCAGACTTTACTTTCGATGCTATGTCGTTTTCGTTTTCATACTGTCGCTGGGCCTCCCTCCTTATCTGTGCATACTCGTTTCTGGCTCTTCTACTAATCTCCTTGTTTTCCTGGGTCCTTTGCCTCCTGTACCTTTTCCATTCTCTGGTGCATTTAGTTTTTGCCTCCCTACACCTTCGGGTAAACCAAGGACTCGCTTTGGTCTTCCTATTATTTCTGTTTCCCTTGGGAACGAACCTTTCCTCTGCCTCCTTGCACTTTGTTCCTACATATTCCATCATCTCGTTTACTGATTTTCCTACCAGTTCTCTGTCCCACTTAACCTCCTGCAGGAAGTTCCTCATACCTGTGTAGTCCCCCCTTTTGTAGTTTAGCTTTTCCCATTCAATTCCTGTTACCTTCTCCACTTGTAACTCTACTATATAATCAAAACTCAGAACCACATGATTGCTAGCTCCAAGGGGCCTCTCGTAAGTGATGTCCTCAATGTCTGAACTGCTCAGGGTGAACACAAGATCCAGTCTTGTTGGCTCATCCTCCCCTCTCTCTCTGGTAGTGTCCCTGACATGTTGATGCATGAGGTTTTCAAGTACCACATCCATCATCTTGGCTCTCCATGTTTTGGGACCCCCATATGGCTACAGGTTTTCCCAGTCGATCTCCCTGTGGTTGAAATCGCCCATTACCAGTAACTTTGCTCTGCTCGAGTGAGCTCTTCTTGCCACCTCAGCAAGTGTGTCCACCATCGCCCTGTTGTTTTCTTTGTATTCCTCTCTTGACCTCCTGCAGTTCTGTGGTGGGTTATACATCACTCCAATGACTACTTTATGTTCTCCAGACTGAATTGTACCTACTATGTAGTCTCTTTCTCCAATCACGTCCATGCCTTCCGTTTCCTCAAATCCCCATCGGTTTTTTATGAGCAGTACAACCCCTCCTCCCCCTCTACTCCTCCTATCTTCTCTCAGGATCTGATATCCCGGTGGGAAGATTGCTTCTGTTATTGTCTCAGCGAGTTTTGTTTGTTTGTGTGTGTGTGTGTGTGTGTGTGTGTGTGTGTGTGTGTGTGTGTGTGTGTGTGTGTGTGTGTGTGTGTGTGTGTGTGTGTGTGTGTGTGCAATAAGGTCACAGTAAACAGGTGACATCACACTATGGAAAACAACCACTGTTAAAAGAATAGTGAACTTCTAAGCTCTTTCGTGACTTCTCACATTATCAAGGACCAGATCATTGATAATGTGAAGAATCACAAGTTCGCTATTTTTTTCCACAGTGGTTGTTTTGCGTACATGTACATGTGTATGTGTATCTATGTACTGTACAATGTGAAGTTTTTTTGTTCCCAGATTCTTATTTTTGATTAGTAGTGAAGTTAGATTACCATGAGGACCTTTGGTGAAGTTCTCTCTCATTCCTTCAGGTGATTGATAAAGTTATGTCTCACTTGAACACCAAGTTCCCAGGAAAGTACCAACGTGATCACTGTTCCTCTCTAAGGTGAGACAGTATTACTTTTTATAGCTCCTTCCCTTCCCTCTCGTCCTGGTCTCCCTTTTCCCCCCTCTTCGGCTTCTGCTGCTCTCTCTCCTACTCCTCTCCCTCCTCATCATCATTCCCTGCTCTCTCTTAACCATGTGTGTCGTAATATATAGTCTTTATTCAGTAGTTTTAACTATTTAGCCTGGGGTAGTAGTGGCACTGAGTGGACCTTCCACGTGGCACTGATAGCACTATGACCCCTTCCCTCCTTGACAGGTACCGGACAGTGCCGACTGTGGGACTGGAACTTGACGTGATCTGTCGCACCCCCGACGGTGAGACAGAGAGAGTGACTCTGGTGAAGGAGTTCTCTGTACCACGCCTCGCCTTCCACCACGACCGTCCCAACACCTCTATCACCCTCATCGTGCCTCTCCAGGGGCGTCTCCACACTCTGAAGGTGACTTTGTGGTGTGGGAGGGATACAGTGTAGTATTCAAGTGTCGGTGCAATGCAGTAGGCTGGAACCTACAGCCTGCAGCAGGCTGTTGCAACACCTCTGCGATAGGTGGGATCTGAAATCCCGTGTTGCAGACACGTATTAAGACAGACGCAGGTTTTGCAACGAGCTTTCACTGGTACAGTGTTTCGCCCTGTACAGAACTCTACACAGAGCGAAATGCTGACCCTATTTAAAGCTTACTGTGGAGGTTGTGTCGTTGTCTCCACGCGGGAGTGAATCGGCGCACGTTTCACCCACAGACTGACGAGTCCAGGACCTGACTCGCTACTGGTCCTGTATGGAACAAGTGCTGCTCCTCTAGGGACAGAAACGTTGTTGGTTCGCTTTGTTGGTTCACTTAGAGCCGTAAAGTGTTCGTACGACCTGCACACTTACAACCAAACATCTCTCAACTGTACCACTGTATCTCAATAAATCTGAAACATCACCTTCATGATATCACGTTGAAAAAAAACATCCACAAATTGCTAATGTGTTTACTGAAACATCAGTGGAGTCTATATTTACACACTCTGATATTTTAATTAATTTCAAAACACCAGACGTGTCACCTAACATGGCGCCTTAGGAATCAGAGATCAACGCACCTAATTACACGTCTCAGCTCCTTCCTTAGGTGCCATACCAACAGGGCTATGTATATGGAGAGGCAGTAGTGGAAGAAATAGTAGTAGTGGAAAGTAGGGAATGGAGAGGAAGACCTAGTAGACGTAGACGTATATCACTGGTTGAGGCCTACCCAGGCCTACCCAGGCCTACCCAGACCTTCCCAGGCCTACCCAGGCTCTCCTACTGGAGTTTATCTGGAGAGAGTTCCGGGGGTCAACGCCCCCGCGGCCCGGTCTGTGACCAGGCCTCCTTAGGTCAGTGTCCCAGGATGCGACCCACACTAGTCGACTAACACCCAGGTACCCATTTTACTGATGGGGAACATAGACAACAGGTGGAAAGAAACACGTCCAATGTTTCTACTCTGGCTGGGAATCGAACCCAGGCCCTCGCCGTGTGAAGCGAGAGCGTTAACCACCAGGCCACCAGGCCACCTTATTTTTATCAGTGTTATTATTATTATCTTAGTAATACCCTGTTATTATCTTAGTAATACCCTGTTATTATCTTAGTAATACCCTGTTATTATCTTAATAATACCCTGTTATTATCTTAGTAATACCCTGTTATTATCTTAGTAATACCCTTTTATTATCTTAGTAAAAACCCTGTTATTATCTTAGTAATACCCTGTTATTATCTTAATAATACCCTGTTATTATCTTAGTAATACCCTGTTATTATCTTAGTAATACCCTGTTATTATCTTAGTAATACCCTGTTATTATCTTAGTAATACCCTGTTTTTTATCTTTGTAATACCCTGTTTTTTATCTTTAGTAATACCCTGTTATTATCTTAGTAATACCCTGTTATTATCTTAGTAATACCCTGTTATTATCTTAGTAATACCCTGTTATTATCTTAGTAATACCCTGTTATTATCTTAGTAATACCCTGTTATTATCTTAGTAATACCCTGTTATTATCTTAGTAATAACCCTGTTATTATCTTAGTAAAACCCTGTTATTATCTTAGTAATAAACCCCGTTATTATCTTAGTAATACCCTGTTATTATCTTAGTAATAAACCCTTTTATTACTTAGTAATACCCTGTTATTATCTTTGTAATACCCTGTTATTATCTTAGTAATACCCTGTTATTATCTTAGTAAATACCCTGATATTACTTAGTAATACCCTTTATTATCTTAGAAAAACCCTGTTATTTATCTTAGTAATACCCTGTTATTATCTTAGTAATACCCTGTTATTATCTTAGTAATACCCTGTTATTATCTTAGTAATACCCTGTTATTATCTTAGTAATACCCTGTTATTATCTTAGTAATACCCTGTTATTATCTTAGTAATACCCTGTTATTATCTTAGTAATACCCTGTTATTAAAACTAGTAATGCTAGAACAACAGCTTCGAGCCAAGAGCTGTTATCCTTCATCAGTCACATAACCAGGTCACATAACCAGTCCAGCATACCAGGTCGTGTGACCTGACGCACTGAACACACTGATATCCCTCAGGTCTTTCTGGCGAACCTGAGGGTAGTGCTTGGCCAGGGTCTCCTTCAGGTGGGTCTTACTGTGGTCTACTTCAACGACCTGGACAGCCAGAAAGTCCAGCAACTCCTGAAGGCCACGGAAGACCAGACCCACAACCTGAAGACGGAGTTCATCCCTCTGAAGGAGAAGTTCTCCCGAGGGCTTGGTCTGCAGGAGGGAGTGAGGAAGACCAGACTGGAGGGGCAGGTTATGTTCTTCTGTGATGTCGATGTCCTCTTCAGCAGGGAGTTCCTGACCAGATGTCTCAACACACCAGTACGAGGCTACCAGGTATACCTCTTAGAACCTCGCTATACCTTTGGTATAAAGCATCACTTATAATACCAGTGATGATACGGAATATAATTCTCAAAATGATAATATTACTGATATTAAGAATTTACGTAATGATGGAATATTACCTTATCGTAGAAGTATTATATTGTAATAATATTTCAGTTCGTGCTAAAATTATTTGAAAAATAATAGTTTTACCTTGACTACTGTTGTTATTACTAACACTGTTAGTCATAATGTTAGTAGTAGTAACAGTAGTAGTAGTAACAGTAGTAGTAACAGTAGTAGTAGTAACAGTAGTAGTAACAGTAGTAGTAACAGTAGTAGTAACAGTAGTAGTAGTAACAGTAGTAGTAACAGTAGTAGTAACAGTAGTAGTAACAGTAGTAGTAGTAACAGTAGTAGTAACAGTAGTAGTAGTAACAGTAGTAGTAACAGTAGTAGTAGTAACAGTAGTAGTAACAGTAGTAGTAGTAACAGTAGTAGTAACAGTAGTAGTAGTAACAGTAGTAGTAGTAACAGTAGTAGTAGTAACAGTAGTAGTAGTAACAGTAGTAGTAACAGTTAGTAGAGTAACATAGTAGTAACAGTAATAGTAGTAACAGTAGTAGTAACAGTAGTAGTAGTAACAGTAGTAGTAGTAACAGTAGTAGTAGTAACAGTAGTAGTAACAGTAGTAGTAGTAACAGTAGTAGTAACAGTAGTAGTAGTAACAGTAGTAGTAACAGTAGTAGTAGCAACAGTAGTAGTAACAGTAGTAGTAGTAACAGTAATAGTAGTAACAGTAGTAGTAGTAACAGTAGTAGTAGTAGTAACAGTAGTAGTAGTAACAGTAGTAGTAGTAACAGTAGTAGTAGTAGTAGTAACAGTAGTAGTAGTAACAGTAGTAGTAGTAACAGTAGTAGTAGTAGTAACAGTAGTAGTAGTAACAGTAGTAGTAGTAACAGTAGTAGTAGTAACAGTAGGTGTAGAAACAGTAGTAGTAGTAGTAACAGTAGTATTAGTAACAGTAGTAGTAGTAACAGTAGTAGTAGTAGTAACAGTAGTAGTAACAGTAGTAGTAGTAACAGTAGTAGTAGTAACAGTAGTAGTAACAGTAGTAGTAGTAACAGTAGTAGTAGTAGTAACCGTAGTAGTAGTAGTAACAGTAGTAGTAGTAACAGTAGTAGTAGTAGTAACCGTAGTAGTAATAACAGTAGTAGTAGTAGTAGTAACAGTAGTAGTAATAGTAACAGTAGTAGTAGTAACAGTAGTAGTAGTAGTAGTAACAGTAGTAGTAGTAGTAACAGTAGTAGTAGTAACAGTAGTAGTAGTAACAGTAGTAGTAGTAACAGTAGTAGTAGTAGTAGTAACAGTAGTAGTAGTAACAGTAGTAGTAGTAACAGTAGTAGTAGTAGTAACAGTAGTAGTAGTAACAGTAGTAGTAACAGTAGTAGTAGTAACAGTAGTAGTAACAGTAGTAGTAGTAACAGTAGTAGTAGTAACAGTAGTAGTAGTAGTAACAGTAGTAGTAGTAACAGTAGTAGTAGTAACAGTAGTAGTAGTAGTAGTAGTAGTAACAGTAGTAGTAGTAACAGTAGTAGTAGTAACAGTAGTAGTAGTAGTAGTAGTAGTAGTAGTAAACAGAGTAGTAGTAACAGTAGTAGTAGTAGTAACAGTTAGTAAGTAACAGTAGTAGTAGTAGTAGTAACAGTAGTAGTAGTAACAGTAGTAGTAGTAACAGTAGTAGTAGTAGTAACAGTAGTAGTAGTAACAGTAGTAGTAGTAACAGTAGTAGTAGTAACAGTAGTAGTAGTAACATAGTGTAGTTAGTAGTAACAGTAGTAGTAGTAACAGTAGTAGTAGTAGTAACAGTAGTAGTAGTAACAGTAGTAGTAGTAACAGTAGTAGTAGTAACAGTAGTAGTAGTAACAGTAGTAGTAGTAGTAACAGTAGTAGTAGTAACAGTAGTAGTAGTAGTAACAGTAGTAGTAGTAACAGTAGTAGTAGTAGTAGTAGTAGTAACAGTAGTAGTAGTAACAGTAGTAGTAGTAGTAACAGTAGTAGTAGTAACAGTAGTAGTAGTAACAGTAGTAGTAGTAGTAACAGTAGTAGTAGTAACAGTAGTAGTAACAGTAGTAGTAGTAGTAACAGTAGTAGTAGTAACAGTAGTAGTAGTAACAGTAGAAGTAGTAACAGTAGTAGTAGTAACAGTAGTAGTAGTAGTAGTAACAGTAGAAGTAGTAACAGTAGTAGTAGTAGTAACAGTAGTAGTAGTAACAGTAGTAGTAGTAGTAGTAACAAGTAGTAGTAGTAACAAGTAGTAGTAGTAACAGTAGTAGTAGTAGTAACAAGTAGTAGTAGTAACAAGTAGTAGTAGTAACAAGTAGTAGTAGTAGTAGTAACAGTAGTAGTAGTAACAGTAGTAGTAGTAGTAACAGTAGTAGTAGTAACAGTAGTAGTAGTAGTAACAGTAGTAGTAGTAACAGTAGTAGTAGTAACAGTAGTAGTAGTAACAGTAGTAATAGTAGTAACAGTAGTAGTAGTAACAGTAGTAGTAGTAACAGTAGTAGTAGTAGTAACAGTAGTAGTAGTAACAGTAGTAGTAGTAACAGTAGTAGTAGTAACAGTAGTAGTAGTAGTAGTAACAGTAGTAGTAGTAACAGTAGTAGTAGTAGTAACAGTAGTAGTAGTAACAGTAGTAGTAGTAACAGTAGTAGTAGTAGTAACAGTAGTAGTAGTAACAGTAGTAGTAGTGTACAGTAGTAGTATAACAGTAGTAGGAGTAACAGTAGTATAATAGTAACAGTAGTAGTAGTAACAGTAGTAGTAGTAACAGTAGTAGTAGTAGTAACAGTAGTAGTAGTAACAGTAGTAGTAGTAGTAGTAACAGTAGTAGTAGTAACAGTAGTAGTAGTAACAGTAGTAGTAGTAGTAACAGTAGTAGTTGTAACAGTAGTAGTAGTAGTAGTAACAGTAGTAGTAGTAACAGTAATAGTAGTAACAGTAGTAGTAGTAGTAACAGTAGTAGTAGTAACAGTAGTAGTAGTAATAACAGTAGTAGTAGTAACAGTAGTAGTAGTAGTAGTAGTAGTAACAGTAGTAGTAGTAGTAACAGTAGTAGTAGTAACAGTAGTAGTAGTAGTAGTAACAGTAGTAGTAGTAGTAACAGTAATAGTAGTAACAGTAGTAGTAGTAGTAACAGTAGTAGTAGTAACAGTAGTAGTAGTAGTAACAGTAGTAGTAGTAACAGTAGTAGTAGTAGTAACAGTAGTAGTAGTAATAGTAACAGTAGTAGTAGTAGTAACAGTAGTAGTAGTAGTAGTAACAGTAGTAGTAACAGTAGTAGTAGTAGTAACAGTAGTAGTAGTAGTAACAGTAGTAGTAGTAACAGTAGTAGTAGTAGTAACAGTAGTAGTAGTAGTAGTAGTAACAGGAGTAGTAGTAGTAGTAACAGTAGTAGTAGTAACAGTAGTAGTAGTAGTAGTAGTAACAGTAGTAGTAGTAACAGTAGTAGTAGTAGTAGTAGTAACAGTAGTAGTAGTAACAGTAGTAGTAGTAACAGTAGTAGTAGTAGTAGTAACAGTAGTAGTAGTAACAGTAGTAGTAGTAGTAGTAGTAACAGTAGTAGTAGTAACAGTAGTAGTAGTAGTAACAGTAGTAGTAGTAGTAACAGTAGTAGTAGTAGTAACAGTAGTAGTAGTAGTAACAGTAGTAGTAGTAGTAACAGTAGTAGTAGTAGTAGTAACAGTAGTAGTAGTAGTAACAGTAGTAGTAGTAACAGTAGTAGTAGTAGTAACAGTAGTAGTAGTAATAGTAACAGTAGTAGTAGTAACAGTAGTAGTAGTAGTAGTAAAAGTAGTAGTAGTAACAGTAGTAGTAGTAGTAGTAACAGTAGCAGTAGTAACAGTAGTAGTAGTAACAGTAGTAGTAGTAACAGTAGTAGTAGTAGTAATAGTAGCGTTAGTGATAGAAACCCAGTGTATAAAGCCTCTCATGTCCCTCTCCTTTTTCTGACCTCCCTGTCACCTGCTTCCCTCTCACCTGCCTCCCTCTCACCTGCTTCCCTCTCACCTGCCTCCCTCTCACCTGCCTCCCTCTCACCTGCTTCCCTCTCACCTGCCTCCCTCTCACCTGCTTCCCTCTCACCTGCCTCCCTCTCACCTGTTTCCCTCTCACCTGCCTCACTCTCACCTGCTTCCCTTCTCACCTGCCTCCCTCTAACCTGTTTCCCTCTCACCTGCCTCCCTCTCACCTGCTTCCCTTTCACCTGCTTCCCTCTCACCTGCCTCCCTCTAACCTGTTTCCCTCTCACCTGCCTCCCTCTCACCTGCCTCCCTCTCACCTGCTTCCCTCTCACCTGCCTCCCTCTCACCTGCTTCCCTCTCACCTGCCTCCCTCTCACCTGTTTCCCTCTCACCTGCCTCCCTCTCACCTGCTTCCCTCTCACCTGCCTCCCTCTAACCTGTTTCCCTCTCACCTGCCTCCCTCTCACCTGCTTCCCTTTCACCTGCTTCCCTCTCACCTGCCTCCCTCTAACCTGTTTCCCTCTCACCTGCCTCCCTCTCACCTGCCTCCTTCTCACCTGCTTCTCTCTCGCCTGCCTCCCTCTCACCTGCTTCCCTCTCACCTGCTTCCCTCTCACCTGCCTCCCTCTCACCTGCTTCCCTCTCACCTGCCTCCCTCTCACCTGCTTCCCTCTCACCTGCCTCCCTCTCACCTGCCTCCCTCTCACCTGCTTCCCTCTCACCTGCCTCCCTCTCACCTGCTTCCCTCTCACCTGCCTCCCTCTCACCTGCCTTCCTCTCGCCTGCTTCCCTCTCACCTGCCTCCCTCTCACCTGCTTCCCTCTCACCTGCCTCCCTCTCACTTGCTTCCCTCTCACCTGCCTCCCTCTCACCTGCCTCCCTCTCACCTGCTTCCCTCTCACCTGCCTCCCTCTCACCTGCTTCCCTCTCACCTGCCTCCCTCTCACCTGCCTCCCTCTCACCTGCCTCCCTCTCACCTGCTTCCCTCTCACCTGCTTCCCTCTCACCTGCCTCCCTCTCACCTGCTTCCCTCTCACCTGCCTCCCTCTCACCTGCTTCCCTCTCACCTGCCTCCCTCTCACCTCCCTCCCTCCACCTGCCTCCCTCTCACCTGCCTCCCTCTCACCTGCTTCCCTCTCACCTGCCTCCCTCTCACCTGCTTCTTTCTCACCTGCCTCCCTCTCACCTGCTTCCCTCTCACCTGCCTCCCTCTCACCTGCCTCCCTCTCACCCCACTCACAGGTGTACATGCCCACACTGTTCTCACTGTACAACCCAAGGTTCGTCTTCCCACACTCTGCTGCGCCACCTTCTGCGCTGCAGCTGATGCAAGTCAGGGATCATTATGGTTACTGGCGCATCTGGGGCCATGGTAAGAGGGCAAGAGAGGGCTAGAATGAGAGGGTAAGAGAGGGCTAGAATGAGAGGGCAAGAGAGGGCTAGAATGAGAGGGCAAGAGAGGGCTAGAATGAGAGGGCAAGAGAGGGCTAGAATGAGAGGGCAAGAGAGGGCTAGAATGAGAGGGAAGAGGGGGCCCTAGAATGAGAGGGCAAGAGAGGGCTAGAATGAGAGGGCAAGAGGGGCTAGAATGAGAGGGCAAGAGAGGGCTAGAATGAGAGGGCAAGAGAGTTCTAGAATGAGAGGGCAAGAGAGGGCTAGAATGAGAGGGCAAGAGAGGGCTAGAATGAAGGGAAAAGAGAGGGCTAGAATGGGGGGCAAGAGAGGGCTAGAATGAGAGGGCAAGAGAGGGCTAGAATGAGAGGGCAAGAGAGGGCTAGAATGAGAGGGCAAGAGAGGGCTAGAATGAGAGGGCAAGAGTCTGAGGGTAAGAGTGATAGGGAGTTTTAACACATTTATTTTTATTATTATTATTATTATTATTATTATTAATATTATTATTAATTAGTGGACGCTGGCCCACCACCCAGGGATGGTGTGTATATACAAGGATGACGTCTTGAAGATGGGTCCCATCCCAAACGGGACCTCCTGGGGTGGTGAAGACCTCAACCCACTTGAGAAAAAGGTACGATAACCCTCAGGTTTCTAGTAACTCCTTCTCCCTCTCTCGCCCCTCTTCTCCTCTCTCTCTCTCACTCTCCTCTTCTCTTCTCTCCTCCTCTCTCTCTCTCTCTCTCTCTCTCCTCTCCTCCTCTCTCCCTCTCTCTCATCTCTCTCTCCTCTCTCTCTCTCCCCCTCTCTTCTCTCCTCCCTCTTTCTCTCTTTTTCTCTCTCTCTCTCTTCCTCTCTCTCCTCTCTCCTCCTCTCTCCTCTCTGCTCTCCTCTCTCTCTCCTCTCTCTCTCTCTCTCTCTCTCTCTTTTCTTCTCTCTCCTCTCGTATGTCACATTATATTTAATTTAAGGGGGCCGCGGCCCCCTGCTTGAGAACCAAGTCTATAGAAATTATTATTGTCATTTGAGTACCTAATTTCATTTGAATCATTCAATGTCTGTAGGCTCGATCCACCGTCACATACCACAAATACAGAAGGCTTTACCCTCCAGTATCACCCTAGTCTCTAGGTGCCCCGTAGCTGAGTTGGTAGCGCACTCAGCTCACGCACTTAGGTCTGTGGTTCGATCCCCGGTAGGGGTGGAAACATAAGGACGTGTTTTCTTAAGACACCTGCTGTCCCTGTTCACCTAGCAGTAAAATAGGTACCTGGGGGTTAGTGGATTGGTGTGGGTCGCATCCTGGGACAAATTGCGGGAAATGCTTAACAAGGGATTTTCTATATAGTAGTATGTCATTGATGTCAGCTATGGTCTGTATAAGTTTTAAACCCTTTTATTTTAGAATAAACATTATTATTATTATTATTATTATTATTTTATTTAATTATTATTAATAATTATTATTATTAATTATTATTAATTATTATTATTATTATTTTTTATTAATATTAATTATTAAATTTTTATTAATTATTATTTTTTATTATTATTATTTTTATTATTTTATTATTATTATTATTATTAAATTATTTTTATTATATTTGGAAAGGTCTGGGTCACGTGACCAAAGCTCCAGTTGGTTAAATATCAAAAAAGACAATTCTCTCAGGGGAAAGTTGTTTTGCAAACCTTCACTAACCTGTTGCTTGCCATCACAGCTCCCTGGATCCAGGCCTCTTCCACCTCTACCATCCCAAGAGCTGCCAGAACGCCCAGATAAATCACAAACCCGCTTAAGGGGAGGTTAACAAGGTCATTTGTTGAGATATTATCAGTGATATTATGTTGGTAATTGATGGCGGTCAGAGCTTTTGATCCCAGGAACTGGGGTTAACAGTTGGATATAAAGCCTGGGAGAGACTAAGAAGTGTTGGGTTTTATTCGTCAGGAGAAAATGGTAAATGTTCCTGACTCTCTCTCTCTCACAAGCATGCCACAATTTATGCTTAATGAGTTGAGAGCATTTATGGATGACAGAGAATCAGTTACAATTAAACTGTCAATCTTTGATACATAGATGCATTTCAGTGCAAGGAGTTTGGCAAACAGTTCTGTCTGAAGGGTAGAGGCCCAATTATTGATGCGTGCTCCAATTTCTTTAAGAGAGCCATCACTCTGTACGACAACAGCAGCACTACCAGCTGCACCAGTGGATTGGTGAACAGAACCATCAACGTAAATAATTTGCGAGAGTGTGTGCTGTGTGACTAAGTTATCAATACAGCTTAAGGCCTCATGTTTGGCTTCAAGGCGAAGTTTTGGTTGTGATTTAAGAAGTAGTTTGGGGGGAAATGGAGGAATGGTAGTTTGGAATGGTGTAATATTCCATGGAGCGGAGAAGTGCCGCTGTTGCCCTTACTTGACATAGATCATGTAACTGATTCATGCGGAGGTCGGTTCCAGTCTTTTCGATCCATCTGGAGGAGTGTTCACCAGTGCTGAGGAAAGTTTGGAGGGCTTCTGTGCAGGGGTTTGAATGAGCTTGCCTGAGCATTTTTAACCCCAATTAGGATATTTCTTTCGGTAACACGATCTCTGATGCTGGAATATCAAGTTCTTTTTGCATATTTAAAATTTTGGCAGTAAGAGGCATCCTAGGATGATCCTCATTGCTTCGTTCTGCAGTTTTTCCAGCCCTCCAAGCTTCCAGTCAGACACAAGAGCAAGTAGTGGCGCAGCATAATCAACCAATGATCTAATATAAGCAAGATACATCATTTTCACAATTTTAACATTAGCACCATACCTGGAGTGAAGCCCTGCCACAACTCTAAGTGCTCTTAGTCGTTCTTTGTATTGGCGACAAAGTCTTGTTACAACAGGTCCAAGTAGTGGAACCCAAAGCCTAGATACCTGTATCTGCTTACATATTCTAGAAGAGACCCATCATGCAACTGGATCTGACGAACTGTGCCTCTCTGTCGAGGAGGACGCCTATTGAGTATCTTTGTTTTATCAGTAGAGATTATCAACCCCAGGTCCTGACACGAGGCTAGTACATGTTAAGAATGTTTTGGGTGTTGGAGAATCCGGTGGTGTGAATCATTATATCATCAGCAAAACTAAAACACATAATTATGGGGCTGACTAGGCATAGCATTAAGTAATGCATTAATTAGAATATTGAACAGTGTGGGACTGAGCACACCTCCCTGTGGTGTTCCTAATTCAAAGTCTTTAGTTACACTTCTATGTCCCTGGAACAACACAGACGATTTTCTGTTGGACAGGTAGCCTTTAATCCAGCGGAGAAAGCCATCCTCCAACATCCATTCCTGGCAAGTTCACTAATTATTACATGTCGGTTGGCTACATCGAAAGCGGATTTAAGGTCAAGGAAGGTAGTGTAGGAGCTGTCAGTGTGCAGGGTGAGAAAGGTGGCTATGCAATGATGCACGCTCCTTCCATGCATGAAACCATGTAACCGGGGAGACAAAAAATTTTTTTGATTCTGTACATGAGACGATTAAGAATCATTCTCTCAAATGTTTTACACAAGCAGCTAGTAAGAGATATTGGGCGAAATGCATTTTGTTGATTGGGCTTAGGAATTGGAATGATGAGGCTGTTGGTCCAAGATGAGGGAGCTCCCAGTTACATAGCTCATGTTATATAATTCAAGTAATGGATTACCTGGTACTCGACACAGCAATCTGAGTATGTTGTAAGTAATACCATCCTCACCAGGCGACGTGGAGTTGCCCTTAGTTAGCGCTGCATCAAGTTCATAATTAGTGAAAGGAATGTTGCAATCATCTGCCTATACTGAGCATAAAGCAAACAAGTCTCTCCCTTGCATCATATTTGTCATTTAATTTTGCCTTGTGGTACTGGGAAGATTGTCATAGCTAGATGTAGCAGCCCAAGCACTGACTAACTCATTCGCCCTATGCAAGGGATGAGGGTGCCCCGATCTGCCCAGTTCGGTTACCCTTAATTCTATTTATGTCCCTCCACACCCTGCTAAGTGGGGTGTGAGCATTAAGACCGTTGAAAAAATTTTCCCAGTCGGTTTGCCGCACTCTGTCATACGCTCTCTGGCGCACAAGGGCATTGGGAAGACCCTCAGCATTCCAGGGGTACGATTTTTTCTATAGGTGGGCCTATCTGCGAGCTACGTTTCAGTGTACGAATTTGAATCTTTGTAAAAAGTAGGGTTTTTGAAGGAGGTAGATTATTATGGAATTTTTTTTGGGTTTAAGTACCAAGAGGTTGCAGGGGCACTCTAAGAGTTCTGAATACTCAGAACCCAACACGGTATGGTAGGATTGTGGGACAGGGAGTCGAGTGCACTGCTTTTGTTTCCATCTCACATTGGGTTTTAGACATGATAAATGATAAATGGCTAAGCTTTTATGCTTTTAAAGGGGAGTAGTTAAAATCTTGGCTTTCAGGGAGGTTTTTAGAAAAAATAATTTGAAAAAGAACTTCAGCTAAATTTTTTGGGCTTAAGCTCAGGGAATTGACACCAGTGAGCCCCTATCATCTTCTTCATGCAGGAGGGGCCACATGTCAGGGCATCCAAAAAAAAGCTGACTTGGATGTCCCCGCCCGGGTCCGCGGGTTACAAAATTTGGCAGGGTTTAAATCACCACCCCAAATGTAGACCAAACGAAATGTAAACTTTTCCAGATGGTTATTGTCACACCCTTGGCATTATGTACTGGAGTGTGATAAAATTAATGAATTTAGAAAAAAAACTCACTCAAATGTTCAAAAATGGCTAAGATTTTCCACAGGGTATATTTCAGACCATTCTGGGAAAAACCCTGACTTTGCTAGCTGTTTAAAAAAGCATTACCACGTGTGCTGTGTACCACCATTGTACCACCTATTTAGGTTGCGGGGGTCGAGTCCGACTCCTGGGCCCCGCCTTTCATGGATCGCTTAGGTCACTCTCCTGACCGGGACTTTTTTTAAACCTCGGGGGTTAAACTAGTATGGATCCTGCCTCCACTACATCGCTTCCCCAAAAAATTCCCCTTCTGACTACTCTGTGGCTGAAGAAATACTTCCTAACATCCCTGTGATTCATCGGGGTCTTCAGCTTCCAACTGTGTCCCCTTGGTTACTGTGTCCAATCTCTGGAACATCCTGTCTTTGTTCCACTTTGTCAATTCCTCTCAGTATTTTGTATGTCGTTATCATGTCCCCCCTATCTCTCCTGTCCTCCAGTTGTCGTCAGGTTGATTTCCCTTAACCTCCCCTCGTAGGACATCCCCTCTTAGCTCTGGACTATCTTGTTGCAAACCTTTGCACTTTCTCTAGTTTCTTCACGTGTTTGGGCTAGGTGTGGGTTCCAAACTGGTGCCGCATACTCCAATATGGGCCTAACATACACGGTGTACAGGGTCCTGAATGAATTCCTTATTAAGATGTCGGAATGCTGTTCTGAGGTTTGCTAAGCGCCCATAGCTGCAGCAGTTATTGGTTGAGGTGCGCTTCAGGAGATGTCCTGGTGTTATACTCCCCCCCAAGATCTTTTTCCTTGAGTGAGGTTTGTAGTCTCGACCCCAGACTGTACTCCGTCTGCGGCCTTCTTTGCCCTTCCCCATCTTCATGACTTTGCACTTTGGGGGG